TCCGAAAGTTCTAAAGAGGAACACGGGTACTTTCCACGTTCCACTGCACACGAAAACCCTCGAAGTTGCTGAGGGCCTGATTGAACATGGCTACACCGACTTGATATCCGTGCAGCTGACTAGTAACTTGAGCTGCAAGGCCACGTTTCATTCCCGAGACACTCTGACACGACTTTGCCGAAACGGTTTCCATCTCAAGTCAGTGGAAGTGCGCGTCACTCAACTGGTGCCTGATTCCGTGGAAATCCAAATCCACGATGTGCCCATCTGGGTCCAAGACGACGTTATTATCGAAAGCCTGGGTGTCTTTGGATCGGCCGTTGGGCCTCTTCGCCATGGATTTGTCAAGACGAAGTCAGGGCTCGCCATTGCCACTGGTATCCGCTTCGCCACATTCTCTCTTCGCCCCAACATGCAGATTCCGTCGTATGTGAAAACATCTACGAACAACTTGTTTCGTGTACGCTACGATGGCCAGCCTGCAACCTGTCGTAAATGCTCCCAACCGGGACACATCGCTGCAGATTGCAAACTCGCCACAGGAACGACATACGCCAAGCAAACCGCGCACACCAGAACAAGCGCAACTGCAACTGTCGGAGTGCAACCTGGTGAACTTACCGTACAGACCGGAGTCCAAAACGAGTCGCCAGACTCGGCACGCTCCAACAGCAGCACTGCCAGCAGGCCCAGCACCAGCCCGAGTACTCTCTCGAGTACTGGATGTAGTACGAGTGCAACTCCTGTGGGGTCAAATGTTGGAGAACCCGCAGTCAGCACTGAAGTGTTCGAAACGGATTTGAATTTGAAAACTACGAAAGTCGATGAGGGGACTACTGAGGATACTTCAGCGTTGAAAAACCTGACAGATACTGAGCCAGACATGTCGTCCGCACAGGGATCGCTGTCAAGCATGACAGCACACCCCAGAACTCCCCTCACGGACGTCGAAGTAGACATTCCTGCAGAGCGAGACCTAGAACGGACAGAGCGACTCCTATCAGAAGTGGCATCAAACATCAACACCGAAGCGATCCACACTTGGTTCACGCCTGAACGTCGAGGCAGGAATACCAGCACTGAGTCCTCACCAGAGTTGGCAACTGGGGTGAAGAAGAAGGATTCCCGGAAACCAACAAATCTAGCTCCAGGCTCACGATTTAGTCCGCTTGCCAGAGTCTAATCATGACTTGAAAAGAAAAAGAAAAAAAATGCAGAACTATAACTATAATGTAACACCCACAGCACCACCTACCTCCCCGACCGAGTCACTCAGTGTGGGATTTCTGAATGTGTGTAGTGTTCGGCGGAAGGTAGCAGAAGTTCAAACGCTCATCTCAACACGAGGCATTCACGCTCTCGCAATAGCCGAGACATGGTTTCGCGCCGAACAACTCCTGCAGAAGCTCAATGCAGCGGAGGAAGAATGGAAACTCTGCACCAGACGTCGCAGACGCAGAGAGCAACAACATCGACCCTGGCCAAAGCCAACCCCTTGCCCCAGCACAGGGCTCACGCTTGAGCCCACTGGCACTGGTGTCACAGGATACTCAATCCTAGCGCTGTCCTCCACACAATATCAGTGAGAACAATACTTTCAATTGCGGAAATACCAAAAAAACGAAACAAATTACAAAAATAAATAAATAAAAATGGAAGTCGCGAATTTCATCAGCTCGAACGTCAGGTGTCTGTTCAACAAGATGGACGAGCTTAGCCACGTGGCAGAGTTGCAACAACCGTCAATAATCGCCATCCAGGAAACCTGGGCGGATCCAGCGGACAGCGACGGGATGTACGCCATCAACGGCTACAAACTCATAAGAGCGGACCGGGACACCTTTGGTGGAGGAGTCGCCACATACATACCACACAGCTGCCAACACGAGACAATTACCATTCCCATGACTCAAGCGGAATGTATTTGGATTAGAATAACAATCGGCCTAACCTCCCTTGTGGTAGGGAACATCTACCGTCCCCCGCGGTCCGACCCCGCAGAGTTCGTGATGGAACTGGAGAGAGCCATAAAGCTAGTTGAAAGACCCCAGGATGAGATACTTCTCCTTGGCGACTTCAACGCCAAGAACTGCTTGTGGCACCCCAGCGACACCACTGATGCCTTAGGTGAGGACCTGCATTGGCTGTGCGAGACTCGTGGCCTCACACAACACGTCTCCTTTGCCACCCACCTACGCCAACACACACCTACATCGTGCCTGGACCTGGCCATCTCTAGCCTCAGCCGCCATAACATCACCATCACAAGCCTGCCCCCTATGGGTGCCTCTGATCATGTTGTCATACAATGCAACCTACAACCCCAGCAGCACACCACCCACAGAAACAATAATACCGATAATAATAAAAATGAGAGCAGTACTACACAGCAAAGCACCTCCAGCACATACTGGTTGTGGAGCGAGCAATGCATTGCGTCCCTGCGTGAAGCTCTTGCTACCTGCAATCTGCAGTACGATCCACATCCCACTGACCCTCAGCCAGTAACCTCATTCTGGAACTTCTGGAGAGACCAGATACTGAAACTAGCCGTGCACCACTGCCAAGTGACCAGAAGCAAGTCCCGCAAAAATTCTACGCCCACTCGTCCCTGGATGACGAAGGATCTCCTCAGCCAGATCAAATTAAAGCACAAACAGTTCCGCACCTACAAGGCGACCCAACTAGACTCAGATTGGAAACTGTACACAGCCCAGCGTAACCGAGTAACCGCTCTTTTGCGACAGGCTAAGTCCGATTTTGTCCAGCAAACCACGTCAACGGGTACAAACCTCCACCGTCTACTGAAGCACCTGAAGAAACCGCCTAAGCAAACAATTCCCACACTATCGACAGCCAACTCCACTGCAGCCACGGCTATGGAGAAGGCAACAGCTCTCAACAAGTTCTTTATCTCCCAAAGCCAACAGTCCATCGACAAGACCACCTGTACTACACCAGACATCAACACTACCCCTGACATCAGTCATACTCTAAATACAATCGCAGCAACAGTGGAAGAGGTCGAGAAGCTTCTAAGCAGTCTAGACACTGGCAAGAGCCCAGGCTTTGACAACATCCCAACTCGGCTCCTGAAAGAAACTGCAAAGGAAATCTCCCCATCTCTCACTAGTCTCTACAATCTGTCCTTCAGAACCGGAGAAATACCACAGGATTGGAAAGACGCAACTATTACACCCATCCCCAAGTCGGGCAACCCCTCCCATCCTACCAACTACCGACCCATCTCCCTGCTCAGTATAATATCAAAAACACAAGAAAAAATAGTCCACTCTCGTCTGTACAATCACATAGCACCGCACTTACCCTCCAACCAATCCGGCTTCAGGAAACAAGACGGGACCGAACTGCAACTCGCACGGATCGTCCACCAGATATCCACAGCTAGGGATGCGGGGAAGCATGTTGTAACGTGTTTCTTCGATCTCAGTAAAGCCTTTGATCGTGTATGGCATCAAGGCTTGCTGAAAAAGCTGAGCCACTACGGTGTTGACGGCAAGGCTCACAATTGGCTCAAAGCCTACTTGACAGGACGCAGACAGCGGGTGCAGGTTGAAGGCACAACATCCGCCTTCATACCAATACCAGCGGGAGTGCCCCAGGGCTCGGTCCTGGGACCACTTCTGTTCCTGACGTACACCATTGACCTGCCCACTGCCTGTGAAAATGCTAGATCCTCGTGTAGCCAGTTCGCGGACGACACCGCACTGATTGCCATTGCAGGCAGCTACATTGAGTGTGAGGCTGCGCTACAAAGAAGCGTCGATGCCGCAGCAAAATGGCTAGAGCGCTGGCACCTGCTAGTCAATAAAACGAAAACCGTCATCCTCCCGTTCTACCATGCTAACCGACCCCCACCACGACTACCCGAAATAAAACTTGGCCAAACCCTACTAGAAACAGTAACACAACATCGTCACCTCGGCATCATCTTTCAGCATGACCTAAGATGGTCAGCCCACCTTGACTTTGTGCTAAAGAAAGCTGTACAATCTTTTAATATTCTCTTTAGGCTCAAATCAACTCTACACACTAAATCACTCTCTCTCATTTACAAAACGTATATCCTGCCCATAATTGAATATGCATGCATTGCTGTCACCCCACTCTCAATCGCAGCCCTTGACCGTCTTGAGCGAGTCCAGCGCAAGGCGGCCAGAATCTGCCTCCGCCTCCCCCTCTACACTCCTCTGGATCATTCAACACTGCTCCATCGGCTCAAATGGCCGACAATGTTCTCTCGCCGCAAAGTGAAGCTCACCCTTCTTGCCCACTCCATAAAATACCAATATGCCCCACAACACATACGCTTGCTCAACACCCCCGCTCAAGTTACGGCCCAGTACAGCCTTCGACACGCACGCACTTGGCACCTCCCACCCTCCAGAACCGATCGCTGTAAAGACTCCCCACTGTACAAGTCCCTAGAATACTACAATGCCCTCCCTGCTAGCATTCGTGACGTCTCCTCCCGACCTGCTTTCAAACAAGAAATCTGCTCACTGCTGATTAACTCAATCTGCTCCTGCAGCGCTCACCCTCTCCCATACTTGTAAAGTTCAAAGTGATGTAAATCACTTTCCAACTGTTTAACCCACAATCTCACCTTCTCATAAATTTATCTCTTATTGGCGATGGTGCCATCGTGAGAATAAAGAATTCAAACAACAACAACAACAACCTTCTCGTACTCCCTTCAAATCCGAGATATCCCTGCTGTTGCACAACTCTGTGTGCTCGTGTAGGGACCACCCCTGCCCCTACACTTAAGTACGCAACTCTGTATGCTCGTGTGGCGACCACCCCTGCCCGTACACTTAAGTAGTCATTAACCCCTAGGCCCTGCCCACCCAATTCTTCCTCACTCTTTCTCCTTTCTTACACTATTATCTCTTATTGGCCACTGGCTATCGTGAGAATAAAGATTTGAAACAACAACAACAAGAGCAACAACAAGAGCAATTATAATGAAAACCTACTTTCACATTGTGGCACGGATAGGAACATTCCTCCGCCCGATGTGCATTGCCTTGAATACCCTGGGTCGGAAAGGTAGAATCCTGGACTGCAAGCAACACTGTAGGATGTGTATTTTTTGGGGTTTCCAAGGACACTATGCCTGCCTCCTGTTACATGCATACTATTCGTAATAGTTGGCAAATTACATACAGCTGCACAACCAGAAGAACAACACCAATCAGGGTCACAGACTCTTTGAAAGAGGTACAACAGTAAGGAGGCGTGAAATAAAGGCGGGTTCAGACTACCGATAAAGAGTGACGGAATGGGAATGTTTCCAAGGTGGTGCGATCACGTGACGTCATCGGCACTTTGCAGATGGAAAGATTTTACTTCTGTCGGCTGCTGCGGCAGAAACAGCATTCCGGCGTTAAAAAAGGTGCCCATGCTGAGAATAAGGGAAAATTACTTCTCAGTCCGTGGTGAAAGCTGCACAAGTAACATTAATTTGTTACCGGTGGCGCAAATGTCCTTCACGGTTTATCACCATTCACGGTTTGACGGGGTTCTTGGTAGTCTGAACGCACCGTACGAGAAGTCTGGGTGACCCCCCCCCCCCCTCCCCGCCAACCATATACTTTGTTTTATGGGCTCACAAGGGCCCCTGATCACAATCACTTTATGATAATTTTAGTATAAAATCACCTTAAAAGGTGATTTTACACAATGGATATTAAGACACCAACGTTGGTATTGGCAACTCAGGATGAAAAGGAATCAGGGCCATTCCGTTACCCGGGACGCAAACTGGCACCTTTGTGCATACGCATACTTGCTGCAGGTCGTCAGGGCCCCAGCCTCCCCATGCATCAGACGCATGTCAAAACAAAGCTAAACATTGCGGCGAAATAAGAATGTTAGTTTTGATGAGATGGTGACGAAACACGAAGGACCATGGCACAGGACAGCCACGGCTCACTTCAAGAACGCGAGACAACGACCACCCAACTTAGGAGGCACATGTTTATCGGAGATAAGCAGAAATAAGGGAAGTTATGCGAACATGAAGTGAGACAGACTAGGCAGCACTAGGGAGGTTCTGCTCTACGTTTTGGGAACGCGACGCAAAGAATCACGCGAACTTTCTTCGCGTTCCCGTAACGTAAAGAAATGCGGTTCTGCTCTACGTTTCACCTAGAGAAGTCACGTGGAGTGCGTACAGGGACTTTCCCCTTCCATATTTGGCAGTTTTCTGCCTGCAGTTGATCGATACCCAGCAGATCCATACGCATTTTCTCTGCGTGTGCCACAACGTAGAGAACCCCATCTCCGCGTAGAAATCTGGAGCCAAAACACGCGAAGCCGTAGACTCTAACCCAGACACCTGCTCTCTACGTGATTTTTCTACGTTTCACGTATAGCAGAACCTCCCTACTATCTCTTCATACTAAACTACATGTACAGACAGCAGAATGAGCAGCTGTGTTTTCTTAACTCCGAGTTTCACAAACTTAATCGATCATCAGACGAAAATTGGTACTGACCCTGCCCTAAGAGTACTGCTATATACATGTGTCGTCGGGGGGTTTTATTCCTCGCACGATAGCCCTTCCGATTGCTCTCTTAGTCATACCTCACACGTACGCCACACTCAGAGGACAGATTATTTTCGTCTTACTCCAAGGAGAGTCTCAGGAAGAAGGCACCCAAAACAACCAGAATGCGTACGATAAGTATGCACGCATGCGCAACCTGCGCAGTCCGCACACACGTGCCAAAAGGGGCAGGTACGTGCGAGGAATAAAACCCCCCGACGACAATTGGCGCCCAGCTAGTGGCATCGTTCTCCACGACCCTGAGATCGTTTTCGTTTTCGCCGTGGCTTCATATCTTGCCTTCTGCACGCGTCCTCGCCATGGCTCCGCTTTGCTCCATCTGCTCAACCCTGTCCTCGGAGCTCCTACTCAGGTGAGCATGCTTTGTCTGCCCTGCGTAATGTTTTGTACCTTGTACGTAGTTCCCCTGGTACTAGTCTTCCGATTTGGGATTTTCAAAATAATTGTTTCGCTTCGTGGCATTGAAGTCCCGTGTTGTTCTCTTGTGTACAAGTACATCGTTCGAGCCTCGCTCCTATTAGTGTTAGTACATGATTGTGGCCCACGTTCTATGTGCGGTGTTTTGAACCAGTGTACATTGTCGCCCTCCGGCCTCTGGCTGGTCGAGTGTTCGTGTGCACTGTGTTTTCACACCTTCTGACTTGAAAGTTCTGTTGTCCGTGCTGTCGACTATCGTGCATGCTCATCGTGTTGCTTGGTACGTCATCATGGTAGTCAGCATGGGTAGCTTTGCTCGTGTTTGCTTACTCGCCCTGTGTTGTGCACTGGTGCACGTCGTTTCGGTGTCGTCGGACTGCTCCGATCCTGTGTCGTTCGATTTGTTTCAGTTTGGTAGATGTCCCCATCGATTAACTCGATGTGGTGGCACTCCGTCGTTTCCAGTTTCAAGTACAAGTGCTTTCTTTTTCGTTTTACTGGTATTCATGTTTTGTGTCGAGCGTTTTAGTGCTCCGCCGTGTTGCCCCACCGATCATGTGGAATGGCGGTCGCCCAGTGGTGTGACATGCTTCTGAGAGTCTCGTTGACGGTCCGGGTGGCAATCTTTCTGTGAGCGTGTTGTTTTGTATTTGTGCTTTGGCACGTGGGTCTCTTCATTTCACCTAGGGGGGGGGGGGGGGGCGTCCGATCATGGTGAGCCACGGTCTGCCTGGTGGGCTGGTGGGATCCAGCGCTTATTTGTATCGGTTCACCTTGCGGGTGTTCGGTTTCCGTGTTTTGCTGGCTGGCCTTTGTGCGTCCCAGTAGGGTTCAGGACGGTGTTTTTTTTGTGTTTCGTGAGCGGATGTGTTTCACGCGTGATATTCAGGTTCGATCCCTGTGGGGTTTTTTCAGGTTAGAGGCCTGTGGTTTTTTTCAGGTTAGAGGCCTGTGGTTATTCAGGGTAGCGCCCTGTGGTTTTTCTATGTTAATTTTTGTTTGCGTATTGGTGACCGATTTGTTTGTGTGCTATCTGGTGTCCTCATGGATAGACTGCCCCTGTATCCGTAGGCGTGTTCAACGTTGCTGTTCTGCCGTTCCTTCTCAGTGTGGTTTTTCTTGTCTGAATTTTGGCTCCTAGTATTGCTGAGATGTTTGCGTCAGTCCGTGTTTCTTTCTTTCTGCGTGTGTCTCTGTGAGTTTTCGTAGCCCCATCGGCTGCGTGATGGTTTTCCGGACAACTCCTGTGCTGTCAGATGACTGTTCACCCGGTTCAGCTGCCGCGGTCTTCGCAGTACCGTCGGTTTGCCTTGGCTTCGCACCAGGGCGAGGTGGTTGTTTTCCGGGGACCCACGCCTGAAAGTATGGGGGTTCCCTCTATGGGTGGGCCCAGTCTGTTTTCTTTCCACCCCTTTGCTTTGGCTTTTCCCCCGTTGTAAGGAGTTACTAATGTATCCTACTGTTTTGGCCCTGCGTATCCGCATGTGTATGTTTTGTTCACATTTGATTTCTTTTTCTCCTGTCTTTCTTCTCACATTTTTCTCTCTCCCATCCTCAGGAGAGTTTGCATTTTTTTTCATGTGGCCGTATGTTGTCCCTGCCCTTTTGGAGGGTATGTGCCCCTTTTGGCACGTGTGTGTGGACTGCGCAGGTTGCGCATGCGTGCATACTTATCGTACGCATTCTGGTTGTTTTGGGTGCCTTCTTCCTGAGACTCTCCTTGGAGTAAGACTAAAATAATCTGTCCTCTGAGTGTGGCATACGTGTGATGTATGACTAAGAGAGTAATCGGAAGGGCTATCGTGCGAGGAATAAAACCCCCCGACGACACATGTACCATGAATGTGGCAAGCCCAGTATAACTGTCATGGCCGCGCTTGGCGGGTTTGTGACTTGGTTTAGACCAGTCTAGTGGCTACCCAGGTAGACGACCAATATAGTCGCCATCCAAGTTGCTAGCTCACATAGAACGACAGGTTTCTAATTCCACTCGAACAGTGTTTATTTGAACCATTGCAGTACTAGATCGAAAGATCAAGTGTGTAGAGTCAAAAGACCAAAGCAGGAGAGAGTCAGAGTGACTCTCTCAGAATCGAGAGGAGTAGTGAGCTCCCCGAGAATCGAGGATGAATGTTAGCAAAACAGCTCCTTATATATGCTACATTATGTGATCAAAAGTATACAGTGGCAAGAATGCGTAAGGATTATTTCTATATTACAAACAGTGGTGCAATACGTGCAATCAGCCAAACTAGAATAATAGTACAAAGAATGATCAATCAATACGGGGAGCTCGCTCACCCACATTACATGAAAGGACTCCGAGGCTCTTCGTGCAACGGGGCCTGGAGTATGCTGTCGGAAGTTGCTGCAGCTAGAGCACGCCGCCTCCGTACGCTGCCTTGGTCGTTGGTCACCCTTCATCTCCTGCCCGTAGGCTCTTCCCTCTCATTACCCCGTAGGGTGCTTCACGGTCAAGCCGTGACCTCTCCCAAAAAGGGATAACGGAGTCCGCAGTGCGCGAAGCACTTGCAGGACCCTTTACGTCGTACGACGCGAGAAGAGGTGCCATGCTTGCTCGACTAACAAAGGTATCAGCTCCCTTGCAGGACTAAGCAGGGTCCCCTCAAGCTCAACAGTGTATTGAGTACAATGCTGACGACTTGTACTGAAGGTGTAGCCGCCGTACGACAACACTTGTGACTCGAGGCCACGAGTTGTAAGCCATGATTGCTCAACTAACGAAAGTGCCAAATCCTTCGCGGGACTAATCATGGTTCTTACAGAACTCTAGAATATTTCGGAGCCCAGCTTTTGGCTGCTGAACTCAATGCATGGTCGCTTTCACGACGAGTCTGATCCGGGTCATGACATAACAATTACCATTATGATAATATGTAGCGCGATATAGAGCAGGGAGTAGTACAATACCGGGAGATGACACGGGCACACATCCGGGGTTACAAGCTTTGCCTCACAAAAAAACACAAACCGCACGAAAATTCAAATATTTGCTCTTTTGACAGCGCTGAGAAACCTTCGAATAGTGACGAGAAGACCAGACGTTCCCTTCGTGACAAGCTGCCACTTGTTCTTTTCTGCTCGAGCCTTTTTTGGGAGCTAGTTTGGTACAGTCAGTATCGCCCGTCAGGCAAAATTACTGGTCAGTTGGCGACACG